CTAGGGACATGCACAGACTGAAAGTGAAGGGATGGAAAAAGATATTCCATGTAAATGGAAATCAAAACAAAGCTGGAGTAGCAATTCTCATATCAGACAGAATAGACTTTAAAATAAAGACTATTACAAGAGACAAAGAAGGACACTACATAATGATCAAGGGATCAATCCAAGAAGAAGATATAACAATTGTAAATATTTATGCACCCAACCTGGTAGCACCTCAATACATAAAGCAGATGCTAACAGCCATAAAAGGGGAAATCGACAGTAACTCAATAATAGTAGGGGACTTCAACACCCCACTTTCACCAATGGACAGATCATGCAAAATGAAAATAAATAAGGAAACACAAGGTTTAAATGACACATTAAACAAGATGGACTTAATTGATATTTACAGGACATTCCATCCAAAAACACTTTCTTCTCAAGCGCTCATGGAACAGTCTCCAGGATACATCATATCTTGGGTCACAAATCAAGCCTTGGTAAATGTAAGAAAATTGAAATTGTATCAAGTATCTTTTCCAACCTGAACGCTATGAGACTAGATATCAATTACAGGAAACAAACTGTAAAAAAATACAAACACGTGGAGGCTAAACAATATGATACTAAAAAACCAAGAGATCACTGAAGAAATCAAATAGGAAACCAAAACTACCTAGAAATAAATGACAGTGAAAACATGATGACCCAAAACCTAAAATCCTCAACGAAATACTAGCAAACAGACTCCAACAGCACATTGAAAGGATCATACACCATGATCAAGTGGGGTTTATCCCAGGAATGCAAGGATTCTTCAATATATGCAAATGAATCAATGTGATACACCATACTGACAAATTGAAGGATAAAACCATATCATAATCTCAATAGATGCAGAAAAAGCTTTTGACAAAATTCAACACCCATTTATGATAAAAACGCTCTAGAAAGTAGGCACAGAAGGAACTTACCTCAACATAATAAAGGCCATATATGACAAACCCAGAGCCAACATCATTCTCAATCGTGAAAAACTGAAACCATTTCCACTAAGATCAGGAACAAGACAAGTTTGCCCACTCTCACCGCTATTACTCAACATACTTTTGGAAGTTTTAGCCACAGCAATCAGAGAAGAAAAAGAAATAAAAGGAATCCAAATCGGAAAAGAAGAAGTAAAGCTGTCACTGTTTGCAGATGACATGATACTATACATAGAGAATCCTAAAGATGCCACCAAAAAACTACGAGAGCTAATCAATGAATTTGGAAAAGTAGCAGGATACAAAATTAACGCACAGAAATCTCTTGCACTCCTATACACTAATGATGAAAAATCTGAAAGAGAAAATAAGGAAACACTCCCACTTACCACTGCAACAAAAAGAATAAAATACCTAGGAATAAACCTACCTAAGGAGACAAAAGACCTGTATGCAGAAAATTATAAGACACTGATGAAAGAAATTAAAGATGATACAAACAGATGGAGAGATATACCATGTTCTTGGATTGGAAGAATGAACACTGTGAAAATGACTCTACTACCCAAAGCAATCTACAGATTCAGTGCCATCCCTATCAAACTACCAATGGCATTTTTCACAGAACTAGAACAAAAAATTTCACAGTTTGTATGGAAACACAAAAGACCCCGAATAGCCAAAGCAATCTTGAGAAAGAAAAACAGAGCTGGAGGAATCGGGCTCCCTGACTTCAGACTGTACCAGAAAGCTGTAATAATCAAGATAGTATGTTACTGGCACAGAAACAGAAATATAGATCAATGGAACAGGATGGATAGCCCAGAGATTATCCCATGCACATATGGTCACCTTATCTTTGACAAATATACAATGGAGTAAAGACAGCCTCTTCTATAAGTGGTGCTGGGAAAACTGAACAGCTACGTGTAAAAGAATGAAATTAGAATACCCCCTAACACCATACACAAAAATAAACTCAAAATGGGTTAAAGACTTAAATGTAAGGCCAGACACTATTAACGTCTTAGAGGAAAACATAGGCAGAACACTCTATGACATAAATCACAGCAAGATCCTTTTTGATCCACCTCCTAGAGAAAGGGAAATAAAAACAAAAATAAACAAATGGGACCTAATGAAACTTCAAAGCTTTGTACAGCAAAGGAAACCGTAAACAAGATGAAAAGAAAACCCTACGAATGGAAGAAAATATTTGCAAATGAAGCTACTGACAAAGGATTCATCTCCAAAATATACAAGCAGCACATGCAGCTCAATACCACAGAAACAAACAGCCCAATCCAAAAACGGGCAGAAGACCTAAATAGACATTTCTACAAAGAAAACATACAGATGGCCAACAAATACAGGAAAAGATGCTCAACATCACTAATCATTAGAGAAATGCGAATCAAAACTACAATGAGGTATCACCTCACACTGGTCAGAATGGCCATCATCAAAAAATCTACAAACAATAAATGCTGGAGAGGATGTGGAGAAAAGGGAACCCTCCTGCACTGTAGGTGGGTATGTAAATTAATACAGCCACTATGGAGAACAATATGGAGGTTCCTTAAAAAACTAAAAATAGGGCTTCCCTGGTGGCGCAGTGGTTGAGAGTCCGCCTGCCGATGCAGGGGACACGGGTTCGTGCCCCAGTCTGGGAAGATCCCACATGCCGCGGAGCGGCTGGGCCCATGAGCCATGGCCGTTGAGCCTGTGCATCCGGAGCCTGTGCTCTGCAACCTGAGAGGCCAGAACAGTGAGAGGCCCACATACCGCACAGATACACACATACCAAAAAAACTAAAACTAGAACTACCATACAACCCAGCAATCCCACTACTGGGCATATACCCTGAGAAAACCATTATTCAAAAAGAGTCATGTACCACAGTGTTCACTGCAGTTCTATTCACAATAGTCAGGACATGGAAGCAACCAAAGTGTCCATGGACAGATGAATGGATAAAGAAGATGTGGTATATATATACAATGGAATATTACTCAGCCATAAAAGAAACGAAATTGAGTTATTTGTAGCGAGGTGGATGGACCTAGAGTCTGTCATACAGAGTGAAGTAAGTCGGAAAGAGAAAAACAAATACCATATGCTAACACATATATATGGAATCTAAAGAAAAAATGGTTCTGAACAATCTAGGGGCAGGACAGGAATAAAGACGCAGACGTAGAGAATGGACTTGAGGACACGGGGAGGGGGAGGGGTAAGTTGGGACGAAGTGAGAGAGTGGCGTGGACATATATACACTACCAAACGTAAAATAGATAGCTAGTGGGAAGCAGCTGCATAGCACAGGGAGATCAGCTCGGTGCTTTGTGACCACCTAGAGGGGCGGGATAGGGAGGGTGGGAGGGAGATGTAAGAGGGAGGACATATGGGGATATATGAATACGTGTATAGCTGATTCACTTTGTGATACAGCAGAAACTAACACACCATCGTAAAGCAATTTATACTCTAATAAAGATGTTAATAAAAAACAAACAACCTAATGAAAGAAGTCTTTGTAAAAAAAAACCACGTGGGAGGGGAGGGAAAACAATCCACATGAAAATCCGTTCTGTTTCACCAGCTATGCATCCTTCCCCTCCTAAGATCATATATTCCACAGTTCCTTAGAGATTTTTCTAAATGATTACATTGTGTTTCAATCTTTCCTATTCATCCTCCACGCCTCTTTTACTTGTTCACTGGGAGTGAAATGGAGCAGGACCCTATGTTCCCTGCCCCCCATGTCCTCAGCCTGCCTTTTGTCTGTGGAAAAACTTTAGCCAAAGAATAAGTTTAATCAGAGAAGTGAGAAAATTCAGAAACAAAGCAAAACAGTCAAAGGAGGACAAGTAATAACAATTTAGTCATTAAGCAAAGTCAAGGACCTTTAGTTCCTCCTCAAGGGCTGTAGATAATATTCTGAGCCATATCCTGTGAGCTGCCTTATAGACACTGAAACCTCCACCAGGTGGAAGAGTTAACTATATGATGACCAGGCTGTAGCCATGACATAAGCTGCCACAATTCCGAGAACTGGCCTCAAGGAAATGGGAACAAACCGACCCTGGAACTGAAGATTAAGTGTACCTGAAACAATCAAGATAACGCTGGTCAGACCACCAATGGCCAATTTCAAGATGACTGCCAGAGCTGACTATGCTGTTTCTGCACGTAGCCCCCTCCCTCCACGTATAAAAGCTCTTGCCCACTGGGTGTAGGAGCGGGGTGTTTCGGCCTTTGGACGGGTGTCCACCCTCCCCCCCCAATCCCGGTTGCTGGCATCCAAAACAAAGCAAACTCTCCTTTCCACCAACCTTGCCTCTTTATTGGCTTTTGAGCGGCGAGCAGCCGGACCCCACTTTCGGTTACAGGAGGACATAGCATTAAAAGTAGGATGGGGCTTCCCTGGTGGCGCAGTGGTTAAGAATCCGCCTGCTGATGCAGGGGACACGGGTTCAAGCCCTGGTCCTGGAAGACCCCACGTGCCGCGGAGCAACTAAGCCCGTGTGCCACAACTACTGAGCCCACGCGGCACAAGTACTGAAGCCTGCGCGCCTAGAGCCCGTGCTCCGCAACAAGAGAAGCCACCACAACGAGAAGCCTGCACACCGCAACGAAGAGTAGCCCCCGCTCGCCGCAGCTAGAGAAAGCCTGCGTGCAGCAACGAAGACCCAAAGCAGCCAAAAATAAAATAAATTTTTTTAAAACAGCATGATGCACTTTGAGGTCAGAGGTGCCTGATTCACAGCTCTGTCACTTTCTGTTAGGGGCACTTAAGCAAGTGCTTAATCCTTCTGAGACTCCAACATCCCGAACTGGCTTGGCAAACAAGACTTGTGGGAGGGGCCCTACTGCATGGGGAAGTTATTGGCGAGTGGACAGAGGAGTAGAGAGTCCATCTGCCTTAGAAGAGGAGAGACCACGAGATCCTGCTGGAAGTCTGGCACTGCCGGGCTCAGCGCTGGCAGCAAGGAGAGGGGTAAGCAGAGTTCATTACTCACGGGACTCCAATCTCGAAGATGTTGTTCTGGATCAACTGCTTCCCCAGCATGATGATGCTGAGCTGAATGCACAGCTCCACGAGGCAGCCTCCAGGGGCGCACTGCAGGAAGAGAGGAGGAAGGAAGGGGCGGTCAGACCAGGTGGAGCTCAGGAGGCAAAGGGCGCGAACTAAGCCCGCCTGTGGAGGCGGTAAGGATTGCGGCGGGGCGGCAGGGGTGGCAGGGGCACCTACAAACCACTAGCCGAGCCGGGCATGAAACACCAGTGGCTCTACTTGCCTCTTCCATGCGGTAACCGTCAAACACATAAACGTAGCTTCCAGGTCTGCCCACAAACCTGAAACGGAGAAGTGTGGGAAGAGTTAGGGGAAGAGAGAGGGAGTCAGGACTGCCTGAGGGCGTGTCTTCTGAGTGGACCAGCCACTGCCCAATGTTGTTCTTGGAAGGACTGGCCAGGGTGGGTGCTCATCACCGGGAAGGAGGTCGTACCCATTATCAGCTAACAATCACCCATGACACATAGGGTTCACCTCTTGTTTTTTACTTTTTATTGGAATATAGTTGATTTACAATGTTGTGTTAGTTTTTGCTGTACAACAAAGGGAATCAGTTATGCATATACATATATCCACTCTTTTTTAGATTCTACAGATCCCCTATAGGTCATTACAGAGTACTGAGCAGAGTTCCCTGTGCTATACAGTAGGTCCTTATAAGTTATCTGCTTTATATATAGTAGTGTATGTGTCAATCCCAATCTTCAACGTATTCCTCCCTGCCCCTTACCCCCTGGTAACCATAAGTTTATTTTCTACATCTGTAACTCTATTTCTCTTCTGTAGATAAGTTCATTCATAGCTCTTAACGTGGTCAAATTCCAAGGGCAGGGGATTGACGCTGGGTCTGGAACGGGGCTGGGGCACTCGTGTGTGTGTGTGTGTGTGTGTGTGTGTGTGTGATCATTTCAGAGCCTAAACACGACGAAATCTGGATTGTCTCTAAGTGCACTGTCCTGCACCTTCTCCCCTCAGCTCGTGTCAAGAATCGAGTTCTGATTGCAATTCCTCCACGAGGGCGTCTGATTTCCCAGAAAATGAAGGCCAAGATGGACTAAAGTTGCAAGTGGAGATTCCTGGGACCAGAAAAGAAAAATCCAGACTTCTTACTGAAAATACTTAGAGGAATGGAAGAAGCCTGCCTCATTTCTCTTCTAAGACCTAAGGGTCTATTTTATTGGGGGATAAGAAGATTGAGCAGATGGGGGAGGCAGAGAGGTACCAGCCAACCATGGAACCAGACAGGTCATCAGAAGAATCCCACTTTCTTGAAATGTCGTCCCCTCACCCATCTATTGAAATCCTACTCGTCCATTTGAAGCTCAGCTTGACTTTCCTCCTTGGTGAGGTCTCCCTGCCTCTGTTCATAATTAAGTGTTCCCCTAACACTTCCTTTGCACCTTTTTTACGGCACTTACTGCAGATTACACTGTGCTGTTGCCAAGACTGTCACAATCACTACTTATCAGAAGCGATTTTACACCCGGGACTGTTATATAATAAAGAACATGACTGGTCACTGTCCCTGATCCCTGGGAGGAGCCTCTAAACCCTTGGAATTTCCTGATAGGAGTGTCTTTGTTATTCATGGTGGGACCCTGGGACTAGACCTAAGTTTATGCTAATGAGATCCCTCAGGATGGGGAGGCCAGTGCCAGAAAGGCCAGCCACGTGATCAGAGAGTTGGGGCTTTGAGCCCAGTAAAAGCAGCCTGACCCCAGCTGGGGGAGAGGGACTTCAGATTGAGTTCAATCACATGAGCAATGATTCATTCAATCATGCTTGTATAACAGGACCCCAGCAAAAACTGTGGACACTGAAGCTTGGACGAGCATCCCGGCTGGTGACGCACATTGACGTGCCAGGAAACTGACATGCTGAGGACATCCTGAAGACATGGAAGCTTCTTTTCAGGATGCTCCTAGACCTTACCCTACGTGCCTCTCCCGTCTGTCGCTTTGGATTTGTATCTCTTTGTGATAATAACACCATAATTTTAAGAATAGCACATTCCAAGCTCTATAAGTTGTTCTAGTGAATTATCAAACCCAAGGGATTAGTGGCTGTAGCCAGTTGGGCAGACCCATCAGTGGCCTGAGAGCCCCAGAGCTTGCAGTACTGTCTGAGGTAAGGGCAGTCTTGTGCGAGACTGTGCTCCTAATCTGTGAAGTCCACCCTAACTCTGAGTAGTTGCCATCAGACCTGTATTGCAAGATCTAAGAGCCACTGGCTAGACATGGAATTCCCTCTTGTCACAGCCTCCAAGTTGAGAGACACAAATTACTCTAAGACTAACCCTTCAGAGCCCAGAGCCGAATCACTGCAGTTTCCCATGTTAACAGAATCTGAAGGTGCTAATCCAAAATGATTTAGTGAAGCCAGGCGGCAAAGGGAGTGGGGAATGGGGCCAAGGGTGTAAACTGACAGTGGAGACAGGCTGACTCCAGTGGAGGGCTCAGTCTTCATGACCAATTGCCCTTCCACGTATGGCACCAAGATACTCACCTCCCCTTGAAAAAGGCCACATAGAAGATGGGTGAGTAGGCATTGACAAACTTTAGCAAGAAAGTCTTGAGTACCAGGCGCTCTTCAAATGTCTGCTCTGTTTTTGGAACCTCTGAAAGAGAAGAGCAAAGCAGATCAGACTGAGAGACAGATTTCTCACCTCTCCAGAGTTGTGACCCTGTGACGTGAGCCATTATGTGTCAGTTTACTCCTTCAGAGTAGAAAGTAAGAGATCCCCCTCTCTCGCACCTTAGAGCTGACTTCATCTGGGAGGGCCCAAACGGTCTTCCAGGTAACATGAGGCTACAGAAGGCCAAGCATACATACGATCATCACCTGTCTCTTTCCGCTGCCCTCCACTTATCCACGCAAGCAATGGTTTCACACTGGGCTCCTCAAAGAGGGGTCTGGGCAAGCAGAACATCCTCCCACCACCCTTGCTTCATCAAGAGGAATTCAGCTTTTACCTGCATACTTGCCACTTCTACAGAGACTTTACTTGAACAAACATCCCTGACAGAAAGGCTTGTTAACCAGTGAACAGAAGTCAAGAAGCAGTAAAAGCTTGTCTAAGGAGATTGCCCCAGGCAGACATGAGCCCCTGTGGCCCTGGGAGGGGGCTTGAGAATGAGGAACTTAGTGACTACCATCACTATTGTGATCCTGGCCTTGATTTTCCCCTAAGGCTAAAAGAAGGGAAAGTGAAGAGTTTCTCATCCTGGTCCCCATGAGAAATGAGAAATGCGGGGTCAGTCCTGGAGAGCCAGCGACACTGAAAACTTCTTTATTCTCCAATCTCCCCTCCATCCTAAAACCCACTTGAGTTCACTGATGTTGGCACACAGTCCTAGAGGCCCTGGCAGGCCATGCTGAACCCCCAGAGCTCCCAGCCCCTCTCAGCTGTGTGTTGAGGGGAGGGATGATTTGCTTGTTTTGTTTTGCTACAGAGATGGCTGTAGGAGCAGATTTTAGCATCAGACATATTTGAGTTCAAATGCTAGATGTAATTAGAGAAGGGAAGTTATATAAAAAGGATAATGATACCTCCTTCACAGGGTTGCCCTGAAGACACAATGGGAATGCTCATAGAGCACTCGGCCAGGTGCTTGGCACATAGCGGACCTCAGTAAATGATGTCGTCCTAAACATCAGCAGCAGCACCATCACAGCCATCACCATCACAATATTATCACCACCATCATCATCATCACCATCATCACCACCATCATCACCACCATCATCACCATCACCATCACCATCATCATCACCACCATCACCATCATAATCACCATCACCACCATCATCATCATCACCACCATCATCACCATCATCATCATCATCATCACCATCACCACCATCATCACCACCATGATCATCACCATCACCACCATGATCACTATCATCACCACCATCATCATCATGATCATCACCATCGTCACCACCATCATCATCACCACCATCATGCAGGTCCAGCAGCTCTTCTTTCCACAGCACAGCTGGGCCATCACAGGCTGGATGTCTGTGCACATGACTAGCCTCCTGAGGTTCCAGGCATCATTGCCATGTGATTACTGATCACTTTCTACCAGTCGACCGAGAACGTGGCTGGTAGGTGATCCTCCTGGCAAGAGGATTCTGCTGGCAGAGATCACCTGTAGGTGATCCTCTGTCCCCACCAAGCTTTCTGAGGTCCTCCAGACAATTCTGGCAATAGCACTGCCTGCTAGGGAGTCTGGAGACATCGTCATTAATTCTACAGGAGATGAGGTTGGAAAAGTCTACCATGATATCCCTCAGCCAAGAGATGGCTTTGTGGTTTTCTCCTTCCTGCCAAACATGGACAGACACATGTGCGACTCCATGGAAAGAAGTGCTGGGCAATCGCACTGCCGAGCCCAGTAAGCCTCTGGATAATGCCTTGTACTCACCATTTATGGTTAACACTGCCACTCCTGCCAGCTCTTCTTTAATTTACATATGTTAGCAAAGCCCCTTCAAACTTTTAACCTAGAAGGCCTTCCCCTCCCTGCTACAAATCCTGCCCTACAAAGAGGCAGGACCACCCTGTTGATTTATACTCATCACGCCCTCCCCGAGCTCCAGATCCACATCCACTCCTTCAACCTGACTCTTTTCGCTCTGACTAAAGGAAACAGTTCTGAGGCCCAGGTGGAAGTGCCTGCCATCGAGTACTAAGGTCACTTTCGGTCTTAAGATCTCATACTCTGAACCCCGAAGTGGCTGTTAACCTCATCACCTTCCCCTACCCCATCCCACCCGCCCCCACCATGTACGGTTTGGATGGCTTTTTCACAATGAGTGAGGTCAGAGAGATAACATCTTCTGGGAGGACCACAGCTGGTGTCAGATGTATAGTACTCTACTGTTTATTGAGTTAATGAATGACATGACGTGACATGAAAACAACATTATTTGGAAGCAGTAAATACTGAAGTATTTGTCATTTACTACAAATTCCCTGTCCCATGACAAGGAGGGCAAAGCCTAAGGAGGGACCTTTGTCTGTTGAGCAGGATAACGGTATGAAGATATGAGAGGAGCAGTCAGAGAGAGTTAGATTCCCTAGTTAAGAGAAGAGGCAGGGGTGCTGGAGGTAGATGCAGGACCCAAAAAAGGCGAGAGCCAGGGCTCTGGGAGGGGGAAGGGCAGAGAGGGGGATGAGGGAGGCTGCTGCGTGACAAGAAGGAAAACAATTACAGATCAATATTCCTCATGAACATGGACACAAAATACTTAATAAAAATATTAGCATACCTTTTCCAGCAGTTGATAAAAGGATAATAAATCATCAAAAGGAATTTACCTCAGGAATGCAAGGTTGTTTTAACATGTGAAAGTCAAGCAATGTAATTTTCCACATCAACAGAATGATGAGAAAAAGAAATGATCACCTCAGTAAACACAGTAAAGCATTTGATTGAATTTACCACTTTGTCATGATAATAACTCTCAGGAAACCAAGAACAAAAGAGAAATTCCTCATTCTGATAAAATACATTTATACAATGAAAACAAAAAACTCACTATTGCTAACACCATGCTTAACTGTGAAATACTGAATGCCTTTCCAACAAGATCAGGAAGAAGGCAAAAATATCTGCTCCTAATTTATATTCAACATTATACTGGAAGTCCAAACTAGTAAAGAATAAGGAAGGAAGGAAGGAAGGAAGGAAGGAAGGAAGAAAGGAAGGAAGGAAGGAAGGAAGGAAGGGAAGGAAGGGAGGGACGGAGGGAGGGAGGGAGGGAGGGAGGGTAGATGAAGAAAGTCACCGCCTATCAGTAAACAAAGGACGGAGCAGCCATCGCGTCAGCAGCCAGTGCAGCCACCCTGGACTGTGCACCCTGAATGGCATCCGGAACGGAGAAAAGCAGGACACTGACCCTAGATAGTTAAGGTGCATATCAAAGAGGTGATTTCAATGAGCCCGGACTCTTGCATCTTCTCAAACTCAGAAAATCGCTAGATTCATTAACTTGTCTGTTTTTCTTTAACTCACAGTAATCTTTCGATGGTCCAACTACCTGGTTTTTGTTGCAGAAACCCCTGTGTATCCTGGCTCCCCCCTCACCTCTTCCGGGCAGTCCCTCAGGGCTACCTGAGAGTCTGCCTCCCGGGCTGAAGTAATCAGAAAGTCCACTGAATAAAACAGAATGCTCAACTTTTAGGTTGTGAATTTTTTTCAGTGGACGGAAGGAAGGAAGGAAGGAAGGAGGGCGGGAGGGATCACTTGCAACAGGAGTTTGAGCCTCTGCCCAACCAATTCAACAATAACTTAATAATATCTTGTGTCTCAATTTTAAATATTTTGGGGGTAAGAAAATGAAAACTGAGGTCACCTCAGTTTTCAGGTAATCAGGTCTGAGGATCTAAAAATTTGGAAAACTCACCTTGTAAATGTGGCTAGAAGGGGATTAAGGATGAGGTACAGAGAGGCACGTGTCTTTGATTTTCTTTTATAATTGCCTTTGAACTCTTTGTATGCAGACCCCCCAATCCCTAGAGGAATTCCCTCTAAGTTCTCTGGAAAGAGAATCCAGTCCCTTCAGAGCTCTTTGCTCCAACTGGAAATGAGTGACTTCCTTCCTCCATCCTGATAAATCATGGGTCTGGTTATTATTTATTAGGTTTATTTCTAAAAACAGCCTGTGCCTATGCTTTTAAGGCCATGAGCCACCATAAATAATGGGCATTTCCAATAAACAATCCAAACCCCTTGATAGGCCACTAAATCAGTGGAGGGTCCCACAACAGAGAAGCTCTGCGACCACGCTGGGTGCTTTGCTGAGAGTTCTGGGGAAGTCGGGGGTGGGGGTCCCAGGGAATGCGGCCCCGGGGAGGGACAGAACGGGGGCCCGGGAGTTCCCCGCGAATTTGGGTCTCTTTGTTTTTTTTTTTTTTTTTTTTTTTTTGATTGAAGTATAATTAGCTGATTTACAATGTTGTGCCCATCTTAGAATAGGTCTCTTCCAACAGCCAACATGAGGAGCCTCGCTCACCCACAACAGTGAAACGGAACAGGTTCTTCAGGGTCCTTTTGGGGTGGGATGATGTCTACAGCACAGTTAGGGCACTTCAGGACACTGGGCACCATCCCCTGATAGGACACAGAATCTGGAGTGGTCCCAAACCGAGCCCATGAGAAAATGGACCAGCCTTGTGTTTCATAAAACTCCAAATAAAGTGTCTTTAGATATCAATTGCTACGGGGATGGAGAGGAGAGTCAACATGGAGAGAATGTGAGAAGGGAGAATGCAGCCCCTCTCCAGCATCCCCAGGCTCCTGAAATCTCACCTCCCCCAGGAAGCCACCCCAGGTTGACTGGAGGCCATCTGAGAGTTTCACCTGCTCACCACCAGCTGGAGCAGATTTCGGACAAAGGGCAGACTCTAGGACCAGGAGAGACCATCAGAGAATTCCTGTGTGGTGCCCTTACCCAACCCCCTTTCTTTGAAGTGTTAAACCTTCGATGCATTGTGTCATGAAAAAATATGAGTATAAATGACCCAGCTGTAAACTGCCTTGGAAAATAATTAGTATGAAAGCCCAAGCGAGTCTCAGGGGGCCAGCTCAGAATTCCAAGTCCCCA